TTGTGGGTTTTGTTTCTCGTTTCGGGGCCGGCCTCACCAGGGGTCCAGTTCTCCGGCCCTGCGCTGGGGACTGATGCCGGACGTGCAGCGGGAGGTGGAGCCTGGGGGAGCGGAAGGGCGCAGCCTGAGCGCAGTGTCTGCTCGAGTGAGCCCATTGCTGACCCCACCCCACGGCCCTTGCCTGTCCGCTCTGGGGCCCGGGGCTGTCTTCCCAGTGCTCGGGGCATCTGCTCCATCTTCCTGACCAGCCTCCCTGCGTCTGGCGCCCTGAGCAGCTGTTCTGTGTGCTGACAGCCTGTCCTGCTTCCCGTGCACGGGGTCTCGCCACGGCCACCTGCTGAGTCTGAGGGGTGCCCAGGCTGCAGTGAAGCCGGCCGCTCTCCACCGTAGTGTAGCCTATGGGTGCCCAGGGCATCACTGGTGCTTCCTGGAAGTGGCCCCGCTGTACCCCGCCAGTGGCTGCGCCTCTGGTCACGGAGTGGAGTCACGCGCTTCTTCTCGCAGACGTCGGTGTGCGGTCCCGGCCCCACCGCTGACATCAGGGCCGGGCGGTCGGTGGCTTCCCAGGAGACTGATGTGTGGCAGCCTGGGAACCACCCTCTGCAGGACGCGGGAGGCCCGCCACGGGGCAGGCTGCCTAGGGGGCCGTCTACCCGCCTGTCAGCACCCAGCACATCCCCCCCGCCCGCCCTGAGGGCGTCTGCGGGCCCACCCACGGGGCTGGGAGGCAGACTTGGGGTGCTGCTCCCTCTTGGGCACCGCAACTGTCTGTCCCCGACACCTCTCGCCCGCCCAGGCTGCCGCTCGGGCAGCTTGGCCTCAGCGTAAGCAGCTGGGAGATACCGGGCCGGGCGGGAGGCTGAAGGTGGCCACGGGATGATTTCTGGCCTCAACAAATTACCGAGACTAACTAAACCTCAGTTTTCATCCCTGTAAAATGCAAACGGAACCCGCTTTGCGGTGTTGTTGGGATGTGCACGGTGGTGCGCTGCGAGCGAGCGTTTTTAAAAGTGAGGCGTCAGGGAGAGGAGGCCTTGCCGCGTGACTGTTACCTGGTGTCCTGCGAAACTGGGATGCGCACGCCTGACGGTGGGGACGCGCATGTGTGACGGGGATGCAGGGGAAGCGGGTTCGGGTGAAACACCGGTGGCCCCGAGTTCCCCTCGCTTGGCTGAGGTCACAGTAGAGCACGGTGGGCGGTGGCTGTCCCCCAGAAGCCTGGGCTCCTAACATGTCGCTGGGGCTCCCCCTGAAGCATTGGCTGCGAGCGTGGACTCTGCCTGTGGTGGACCCTTTCGTGTCCCTTT